TGGGCCTCACGTCCACAGAGGCGTCCCTCTTCTTCTGCTGCTGCTGTCCCTTCTGGTCGTACTTCTGGCGCACATTCTTCTGCCACTTCCCGCCCCTCATACCGACGTTCCCTTTGTCCCGACCCCTTACCCCACGGGACAGTACGTGCATCTGTTGGCCGCCCTGTTTGCCACCACGACCTCTCATATTGCGCTATTCATACACAAACACGTCATACATATAGGGGTTACCATTCATGTGATGGTAGGTGTGGTGTGTATGACATACCTGTCCGATGCGGAGGCGTCCCCTTTGCATCCTATTGACCACACGAGTCGTATCCACCAATTGGTACGACGACTCGTCGTCCTCCTGATTGTATGAGTACTGACCGCCGCCTCCGAACTGAGACTGATATTTGTCTGCAAATCAATGGACACACGAAGAGCACCGTTAGCTCAGTCACAGCCGCTGTGCATACAAGCGATTACTCACTGGCCAGCCGTTTGTCGGCGTAGGTCTGTCCGGTCCAGTCGGCCACCTGTTGGGAGAGGTAAGCAAATGGTGGGGTAATTATCACGTCAATGGTAACTATCATCGCGTAATCGATGGTATACTTTGCCGATGCGGTCACTCTTGGAGAAGGGCTGGTATGGCATGTCTTTGAACTGTTCCGGCACTGAATTAGGTCCCCATCCGTTCGGGTTCTCCTGAATCTCCGGTGCGATGAAGTGGTGAAGCATTTGTGTCATCTTGTAATCCGTGGTTTGGATCCGATTCACAGATAATTCAATGAATTGAGTGAATAATGCACTCAATATTGTGAACACGTTTTCAATACAATACGTCAGCTGTCGTTCACAAACTCTGTTACCGTATCCCTGTTTCTTACGTTTATTTTGTGCCCTATTATTGTAAATCTTATGTATTGTATTCAATATTTTACATGTCATTCATCAATCCCTCGCCTTACATATTGTAACATTGTTTGTGATTAGTAAATGTCGGCAAAAGCATATGTTTGCATAAATAATGTTTTGCAATATTTGATCACTATTTTGAAATATCGTTACAAATAAATGCAATCTTAATTCCCCTCTCAATATATATAAAGGGGAAACCAATTAAATTATAAAGCAATATAACGGGGAGATAGGAGATCCCCCTCTGCTATATAGTTATACATTATATATGAATAAGAAGTTGTAAAATAAGTTTGAAAATTGTTTTGAAAAACGAGTTTTAGTTTTGATTTAATTGTCAATTCATTCGTGATTTATATGTAAATACTTAATGAAAATCATTTCAAACATAATTTGCAATATTTCTATCGCTTTAATCAAATCTTTACTGTTTTATAGCAAAAGTTTATCACAAAAAGTGTATTAAAACTCATTTCTCGTTATGTATTGACTGCTAATGGGATTCAAAGGCAGACGTCATTCAAAGCCCATTGAAAGCGAGACAACGTTTGCCACAACTTATGGCTTAGTTTTGAGACCGAAATCGTGGTCTTAATTCACCCAACAGTTGATAATCAGCTGACACTCGCATGTTATCTAATCGACAGAGTCTTCGGCAACACTCAACACTACCACCAAATCGTGCGAAAGAGCTGTCATTGAGCCATACGTGACACCGGACACGAAGACAGCCATCGATTGCATCATTCAATACAATACCTGTGAAGACGTGTAAAGTGGAGGACAATGTCATCGGCGGTGAACAACTCGAAGACACTGGTGCTGTTCGACATCGACGGCACTCTGACGCCATCGCGACTGAGGATCAGCCCAGAGATGGAAGAGTTCCTGAAAGATCTTCGCTCGAGAGTGTCTGTAGGACTGGTGGGCGGCTCCGACCTGTCGAAGATTGCGGAACAGATGGGCGGCGCGGGTGAGAACAGCGCGCAATCTTCGTACACAATCGTCAACCGATACGACTACGTGTTCGCTGAGAACGGTTTGGTGGCCTACAAGAAGGGCTCGCTGTTGGCCACGGAGTCGATCGCGGAGTTCGTGGGCGAACAGAAACTCCAGACGTTCATCAACTTCTGTCTGCGGTATATGTCTGAAGTGGAACTGCCGGTCAAACGCGGAAACTTCGTCGAGTTCCGCAACGGTTTGGTCAACATATGTCCGGTGGGCCGGAGCTGTACGCAGAGGCAGAGGGAGGAGTTCGCCGCCTATGACGCCAAACACCACATCCGCCAGAAGTTTGTGGACGCACTGAACGCCCGGTTCGGTCAGGAGCTGAACCTCTGCTACGCCATCGGCGGACAAATCAGTTTCGACTGTTTCCCGAAGGGTTGGGACAAAACCTATTGCTTGCGATTCGTGNGTTGGGACAAAACATATTGCTTGCGATTCGTGGAGAAGGACTTCGATAAGATCTACTTCTTCGGCGATAAGACGGCGCCGGGAGGTAACGACTACGAGATCTATACGGATCCGCGCACTATCGGGTATACCGTCCGGAATCCCGAGCATACCATACAAATCATTAAGCAATTGAATTTCTGAACCAATTATTGTTTCCTATAGTTTATAACTATTTATAATTGATTATCAAATGTTGTGATTAAATGATAAAAATCTGATATTTTTTAATTAAATAATATTTTCAATTACCGCTAATTAAGTTTTTTTTGTACGTAAAAAATGGCATTAAATAAGTGTCAATAAAATACCTCTCAATATGATTAATAAAATCATTTAGAAATTGCAAACACTTTATGGCAGTTGTGATGCATATTATAAAAGCTGTTATATTTACATAAAAATATAATGTCTTAATATATCTTAAGTAATGATAAATAATTAGGAAATGAATGGATTATTCTACATGTATAGTACACATCAACTTAGTTATGTTATCGAAGAGATTAGTTTAATATAAATTATAATTAATTAAATAAAATTAATTGAATGTTGAAAACTGGACGGACTGACAGATTTGCAATATGTACGGGCATGTCATGACATACAGTATGTCATACGCGTCATGAGAGCCGCAGACGCGTGTAGAACCATAGATAAGTGATAATAATATACTGTATGGCATATGCTATTTGTTGCTACAGTATTCAACTTGAAACCGCCTCTCAAGCGAGAGTTCAATTGCCCATGATCATTTGAAACAAACTTAGATTTAAATGGCAGTGACTGTGGGCTATTGGGATCTGCGAGGGTTAGGCCAACCGATCAGGTTTTTGCTGCAATACGTGGGCATTGCCTTCACTGACGTGCGCTATCGGATCGGACACGACTGGACTGATCCGGACCTCCGGGAGGACTGGCTGCGAGTGAAGTGGGATTTGGGTCTCGACTTCCCTAACCTTCCCTATTATATTGAGGGAGAGTTGAAGTTAACGCACGTTTGTATTGACACCGAAATCGGCTTTTCATAGGGAAGCCTACAAAATGTGTTCACTATTTAGAGCCGAACTATACTGCGATACTTGGGCTCAAAGCACGGCCTCTGCGGCCAAACGGACGCCGAAAAGACGAGAATAGATATGATTGAGAACTATATGGAGGACATGAGGAACGACGGCCTCCGACACGTCGTCTATTCACCCGTTTTTGATCCCAAACTGGACTTCGAGACACTTAAAGCCGAATACATCTCCAAAATGGGCTCTTATTTCAGGGAAATATCAAACTTTTTGGACACTTTCGAGTGGATGGCCGGCAATCGTCTCACTTTCGTCGACTTCTGGTGCTATGAAGTGCTCGATTGGAACCGTCTTTTCCAAAGCGATTGTCTCAATGAATGCCACAATTTATTACAATATATGAATCGCTTCGAGGCTTTGCCACCAATTAATAGATATATAAATAGCGATCAATTCAATAGATTCCCGATATTCGCGCCGTACGCTCGGTTTGGGGGTCAACCACATCCCGATTAACAAGCCGTACGTCTCACTGTTGCCTATAGTTTATAACTATTTCATTGATTGCCAAATGTTGTGATTAAATGATAAAATATGATATATTTTTTGTAATTAAACAATATTTTCAATTAATTCCGTTGTTTTGTATGAAAAAAATTGCATTAAATAAGTGTCAATCAAATAGCTCTCGATATGATTAATAAAATCATTTAGAAATTGCAAACACTTTAAACTGTCTCCACTGTACTCACACTGTATTGACTGAATACTATAATACAGTATTTAACTGAAAAAATGTTAAAAAGTCTAAATTTAATGAATGATTTGATGGGAAAGTGGTGTGAATTGAGAGACAACTGTCAAAAACTTCACACAACTTGTGAAACATAAGGCACTCGTATGAGTTGCATAACAGAGACCTCTAGCGGTGTGGCAATGACTCAGCGAATGAGTGATCACTGAAACGAGTAATTGATTCAACGATTACTTCATTGAATAGTGAATTGAATCGAGTATTCATTAAGCGATTCATTAGTGTCTCAAACATTGCATTCATTGACAACTTTCTTGCCATACATTGCCATCGAGTAGTGAATTGATCGCCAAATACACACCGATTGGTCTCATCTGTACGTCAAATGCAGTGATCGCTTGATTATGAGTTTTCATATGATTTACGCATAGCTTGTGTCACAAAATACTAAACGAAAAGTTTATTGACAATCAACTCGTATGCATAGGAAGTGATGACAATTTGAATGGTATGAAGACATGGACGAAGAGCTGGTGTACTACTTGCTGTTGATTCCCATCTCAATACCCGTCACACTATTCTTCATGTTGATGTCGTGGATGGGCTTCCAGTTGTTCATCAACAATTGAATCACCCGTTTTTAGTGAGACAATCGTTTTGGTGACATAACCGCCGATTTGTGGATCCGTTTCATATAATACAGGAGAGAGACGATCGCCGCCGGAGTCACACCCGGAAGACGTTTGGCCGCAAATATCTGTTGACAACAAAACACATCACCCGAAGAGGTCAGTCACACACAGCTGTTAATCAATCGGTTATAACTGAAATGCATTGCAATTAACAAATGGATACCGTTTTGGGTCTGTTGTGAGACAATACGTGTCTCACTTCGGCGCTCAGATTCATATCAGTGGTCATGTAATC